TTAGTTTACTTTTCGCACAAATATTTTTTAACTTGAAAATGGTGCCAGGATGACACCGAAACGTCGTTGCTCAGTTTTTTCGCTAATCTTTATTGTTATCAGTATACAGTGACAGCTAAATGCACTGCATCCGGTATGACTCATAACATCGGGAAATGACTGTCAAATATGCAAATGATTGGTTGCACTGAGTAAAATCAAATTGCTGTGGTGTTAGTTTTGAGTGTTTTTACCAATTACACAACAAGAAAAGCTAATGGGATGACATCCCTGGCGAGTTACATGAACCAGAATTCAAGTTATCGCGGTAAATTTTTATCAAGGGAAGCAAAATTTAGTTCGAGTTGGCGGGGAATTCAAGTTATCCGAGTTCGAGTTAACAGAGTTAAAATGACTGAAAAGTGGGGTTTGAGTTAATGGGGGAGTTCGAGTTATCCTAGTTCGAGTTACTGGGGTTCTACTGTTTATATTTAAGTTGTGTTACATAATTAAATACTCCAATTAGCATTATTAAAAATATAAATGTTGTAACCATCTAAAGATACAGGTGTCATATTACACCCCTACCTCTCCACGATGGCCACCTCTCTACAACAGCTTTTCTCTGTCCCCAAGGTGGCCACTGTGAAGAGGTTTGACTGTATCTACCTTGAAGGTGGTAAATTTTGAGCATGTGGCATAATCATGAAGACCTTTTCGGTCCCATAGTACAGAGTCGCAAGCTGTGTGCACAATTAAGTATGGAACACTACAACTTACCCATAATTTGGGTTGTTGACGTTGTCCTGAATGGCAGCATGTTCCACCTGATCACCTCCCCGCACCACTCTAGCGGCCAGAACTTCAATGCTGTCGAGTATTTCTTTATCCTCTGGTGGGGGAACTTAATTATACCGCTCATCAGAACATTTTCATGCATTTACCGTGATCAAAATTAGACCAAACATACAGGGCGTTTGGCAATAATCGGGCCTCTAGCTAAGATCAGAAGCTTCGAATTCAAAATGAAATTACCATTTTCCTCCAAATCTTCTGGAGCCTCAAAAACGTCCGGTCTGGCCGATACTGGTTTAACAGGCGTCGATCGTTTGACTGTTGTCAACTTCATGCTCACAGTTGGACGGAAATCTGTACTACTGGAGGCTGACGTCGAAGGAACAGATGTCTTCTGTTGTTGCATAGCTTGAAAGCGAGCTAAGAAATTGCCATCGTTTACGAACATTGTACCACTACTTGAAGCCTTTTGTGCATTTCCTTCACCAGAGGAAGGCAAAGCTGGCATTTTGCTTTGCTCGGTTTTCTTTTTCTCCGCAATACGACGAAGAAGTTCCTGCTTTTTATCCTCCACTGATTTTTTGCGGTCATCCATGGACGCCATCTTGTGTTGAAACATATTTTACCCATGAAGCACTGCAGACTTACCGAACTTACACCACAGGATACCCACACAACGTCCCCGTGAGAATTTTGACACAAAATGGCGAGGTCTCACTTACTTCCACGTGAATTTAATAAAAAAAAGACAAAAAAAAAAACAAGCGCTAGATAGAAAGCAAAGAATAGAATGGGTTACAGTTTCTTATAAATTGTACGAATCGGAATGGCGTGGTGTTTTCCAGTAAAA